TGGAAACACTGTTCAGGGGAGGACAATCCTGCTGACTTACTGACACATGGAGTGCCCGTAAATGTCTTAGCTGATAGCAAGTTGTGGTGGAGTGGACCGTGCTGGCTACCTTCTCAATGCCTGCCTGAGCAACGAGAGTTTCCAAACGAATTGACTGAGTCTGTGGAGAAAGAAAGAAAACAAAGGGTGACAAGAACGTGCGCGTTGATTACTATGGAACCATTGATTGATCCTTCTCGATATGAGCAATGGCTGACGCTAGTCCGGGTAACAGCATTTGTTCTTCGAGGTGTTCGAGCCTTTAAGTCAGGAATAAGTGCAGGTTCCAAAGAGCTGTCAGCCGAGGAGCTGCAAGATGCCAAGTTGAGGTGGTACCGGGAGATAGAACAGGAGGTATACCAAGCGGAGTGTGAAAGGCTGAAGGAGGACCTTCCTTTACCAAAGACCAGTGCTATATTGAAATTGGACCCTTATTACGACAAGAGAGATCGCTTGCTGCGGGTAGAACGTAGACTGCAGCACTCAATCTTGCCAGAGGGTACCAAACATCCAATAATCTTACCGCATCGGCGTGCGGCAGTTGAGAAAATCATAAAAAGTGTGCATAAGGAATTACTTCATGCTGGAGCTGAGAGCACTCTTTCGGCTCTACGACAAGAGATCTGGCTCACCAAGGGACGTCGTGCAGTTAAAAGAATCCTGGGAAAGTGCCTTGTTTGCCTACGTCAATGAGTTGGTCCATATTCACAGAAAAGGGCGCCATTGCCATCAGAGAGGGTGTCATTGTCTCCAGCCTTCACTCACGTTGGTGTAGACTTTGCAGGGCCATTGTTCGTACGAGGGAGTGCCTCCCCAGAAAAGGCTTACATTTGCATCTTCACTTGTGCCTCCTCCAGCATGACCCATCCAGAGCTTACGGGTGACTTGTCCACGAATGAGTTCCTTCAGGCGTTTCTTCGCATGATCAGTAGACGAAGGCTCTGTAGAAACATTTGGTCTGACAATGCGAAGACGTTCAAACGTGCTGACCGCGAGATCCAACAGTTGTTCACACAAGGGTCATCTGTCAATAAAGGATTGTGGGACAGGATAGATCAGGAAGAGCTCCAGGCCAAATCGACCACCAAGGGAATCAAATGGAAGTTCATCGTCGAGCGCTTCCCTTGGCATGGCGGCTGGTGGGAAAGGCTGGTGCGTTCAGTGAAGGAACCTCTTCGCAAGATCTTGGGCAAAGCGCTGTTGTCCTATCAAGAGTTGGCCACCATCCTTACCAGAATTGAAGCTGTTATTAAGTCGAGACCGCTCACCACAGTAAGTGACGACATAAGGGATCTAACGCCTATAACACCAGCTCCTCTTGCTATTGGAAGATCCCTGTTTAGCTCACCAGATTTCGTAGACGAATTTTCAGCAAACAAAAGCACAACGAGGCAGCAATATCTGTACCAGCAGAAGCTTATTAAGCATTTCTGGCAACGCTGGCGGGGAGAGTACTTGCACCAGTTATCCGTCAGAAAGAAGTGGGTGAATGAATAACCAGCCCTCAAGATTGGAGACAAGGTGTCGAGAGGAAAGTTGCCGATGGGAAGAGTTGAAAGATTGCTTCCTGGAAAGGACGGCTTGATATTCGTACTGTTGCTTTGAAGACAAAGAAAGGGCTTCTCAGGAGACTTGTACAGAGGCTACATCGTCTGGAAGCAAGCAGTACTCAATTTGGAAGTGGTGAATTTGTTGACAGCGGTGCTTACGGTGGGGAGCGTGTTACTCGAAAGGTCAAGAAAAGGGCGAAGAAGAAACAAGTTACACGGAAACCAGTGTCAAGTCCCAAAAGTATTGGAGAGGTGGGGAGGATGTTCGGGCCCGGAACCGCAGAGGGAAGATATCACGCCTCCTAGTGAGACCGGACTTGTGATGGGACCACCCTACTAAGGACATTTTTGTTGCGTTAGTATTATGGGATATAGGAAAATGTGCATTTCGCTTGAAGTTAGCAGTCTTTTCGTTGGATTAAAAGGGGTGATTTAAACCGTTGACGAAAGTTGAAGTTATTTAGTAGTCTGAACAAAACACCCTATAAGGCTAATTGCTATACTGGCCCTCCAACCAGCAGTTTAATAAAAAATTATTTAAACTTACAAATACTTGCTAATTGCTACACTAACTCTGACCAGCAGTTTAATGAAAATTTATTTAAACTTACTATTACTTAGACTTTTGACTGTGTTAAACTGTGTTAATGATGTCAACAAAGAAAAAATAGCCTTCCGACATTCGTTTTGACCAAGCATATTTTTTCTTTTTCATTCTGCCCCTTCGTGGCAGACAGCCTTCTCGATGAAATGTTAAGAGTAAATTTTTAAATATTATTCAGTCATTTAAAAGTGGATATCTTTTTTCTATAATTTTCAGGAGGTTTTTTTGTATCTACATGATATATCCACAGCACATGTACCTCTCTTGGTGCCATTGATTAATTCTGGTATGTGGATTCATGCAAAACGCAACTGTACTCACTATGGCAGATGGATAACCAAGGGTACCGAATACCATGCACATCTGATAGACATTCCAGTCCACAAGACCAGCTGTTCTTTGCTACCTAATATGGTTGCAAAGTCTACTTTGACAAGGCTGTTTGATACAGTATGTATTTCACCAACCTACCACCACAGCTGTCAATAATAACTGCATTGTAACAGCTTCACAAGTTGATGTATCACACCTATAGCTGGTACAACTACATTGTAAACCATGCATCTAATCTGTTATATTCCCAACAAGGAGTACATGTTGATGGCATACCTGTCTACAAGGGCATGTATTAAATACAGTGAGGTTTTGTTCAAAACTGTAACACTGAAACTTGGACACATAAACAAATTTGAATACCTGAAACACCAACATCCTGTAATGACTAAACTTAACATGAGCCAAATTGTACATATTTTTACCTTAATATAACCTGTACTAATAGCGAACTAACATGCTTCATCCTTCCGCAATATAGTTTTTTTTATGGCCAATACATCACTGAGGGTGTTGAAGAGTTTTATCAAATGCAAAACAGTATACCTTGGCACAGTGCACAGTATCTGGTGGAAGATCACACAAAATCTGCACTCTTGTATGTCACAAGCCTACAGTTTTTCATCAGTTAGTCATTTAGGACAGATATATACCTGCATAAACAAAGACAGAACTTTGTGAATGAGCATTAAGGTTTAGATACAAAATATTCTGTAATTATGTATTTATACAACTTGCATAATCCTTTGAATATTCATTACTAATACTCTGTTGCAACATTGACTTTACAAAGCCAAATATTTTGATGTATATTTTTTCATTCATTGGTAAACTTCGGGGTTATAAAAAATTAACAATTGAATGTGTTCTATTACATGAATAACAATATTTATTGAACAATGAATGAAACATTCAAACATTGTGTTAACTCAGTATATGAGCTCTACATCTATTTGCTTGTTTTCAGAAGATACCCTTCTCACACCCTCCCCCCCCTCCTTGCCCATGGAAGATCATTGTGAATTGTGATGAAGAAGGGGTTCTCAATAGGAAAGTTTCAAGCTAACCTAAGATTTGTTGCAGGGAAGGTCGGTTCAAACCAAAAAAACCTCCTATTGGAAAGCATGAATATTTTTGGAACAACTCATAAATTATCATAAAATATCCAACTCAGTCTTTTAATTATCTAGTCAGGTTGCATTAACCTGGTTGCTTCCCAAGAGCAATGGGAGAAATTGAATTACAGTGTAGTGTGACAGGGAAGAAGCTGGCTGGTTACAACAGATTTGACCATATCCAAATTGAATGCAAACTAAAGTTACTTGTCGAAATATTTGGTACTTAATCTATTTTAATACATGTTTTTTCTCTTTTTCAATGTGGTCTCATGTTATCGATATGAAATGTTCATTTACTGTTAAAGCACACCCACAACGTAATAATTAGCCACCAGTTTCCTTCCTAGCAGAGAAAATTGAAAGTCCGATTTCGGCTTTTTACAGCGTAAAGGAAAACGAAAATAAGACTCGAATTTCATTTTCCTACGCAATCAATGTTAATCGAGGAGACTCGAAAATCGGTTGGCACTAAGAAACACGGATTCTACAGCCACTTGGAAAATGAAGAACTGATATACAGTACAGCAAAAATCTGTGAATGGGTAACGCCCTATGCTCACTTAAAACACCTCATTCTCCTCGTTTCTTCCAAAATATAACCGTCTTAGAAGAAAAATCAATCCCGAGGGTAGGACTTCTATGTGAAACAAACGGGGATACCTGTCCTCTCACTTAGGGGTATAGATTTCAGATTTTGGTCTCGCTTAGGGATTTCAGGAAAAAGCGCCAACATTTTCAGCGTTTAGGTTTCGTTTAGGGTTGCATTTTTAACCCAGATTTTTCTCTTAGGGGTAAAAAAAAAAATGCGTGACCCACGCCTACATTGGTATCGTTCTGGAATAAATATCAAAATTTTCGACGAACATCCCCCTCCCGGAAAGGTAACACTTGTACAACACAAGAATAAAACATAGCAAACAAGGGTAGAACGAACGAATGCGCAACATTCAACAGCTTCTTATCATGGACGTCCTGCGAATAGGAATACGCAAAGTAACTCAAATACTCTAAACACAGATCCTTTTGAGACACTTTTCAGCCGTCTGTTCCAGCACCTCTACCTGTATGTGTCCCTTGCTAACAAAAAATACACTTCCACGGCTGGAAGCCTATCTATCTGCATTCACGAGTTTGCTCACAAGAGCCTTTGATTTAATGACCTGATCTCTCCGCTCTCGTCCCAAATCTCTTATAGACCTCTCACATGAAAGGATGAACAAGGCAGCTTACATTCTTTAGGATCTACATACCGCTGGAAAACACCGTTTTTTTACCGTTTTGATTTCCACAACATTCTTTTAAAGAATGATTTACCCAAGAAACATCACTTGTTCATGATTAAATTTTCTCCCGCAGATATCGACGAATGCTCCAGTAATCCCTGTTTAAACAGAGGAGTATGCAATGACCAAGTGAATGGATATGTATGCACCTGTCCAGCTGGATACACAGGACTTCATTGTGAAACAGGTACGTCATTAAGAGCATCAGATATTATTTCTCTCCATATTATTAGTTTTACCGTAGTTGCATCTTTTTAGTTATACGTTACCATTTCTTCTTTGGCATTTCGCTAAATGAATTTTTATGTAAGATGTCACAATTACCCATTAACTTGTTGAATGATTGTATCAGGCAAAGAATCATGACTTGTTCTACCTCCACACAGATATTCACGAGTGCTCCAGTAATCCCTGTTTAAATGGTGGCACTTGTACGGACCAGGTTAATGGATATCTCTGTTCCTGTATCGCTATGTACATAGGACTACGATGTGAGACAGGTAGGTAGTCAACATTTTGCTAATATGTTTCGTTATTTTCACAACGAGAGGAGTTCTTGTTACTTCATATTCAAAGGACGAATTTTCAAAAGACTTGGAGTCTTTGAAACTTCTTGACAGTGAGAACGATTATAGGCGAATTCCCCACCCCCCCCCCATGTATTTTGAGTTTAAAGCCTCGCCAGATCCATATATGGACAATATGTTGCCTCTTACTTACGATGGAGAAATCCTGGATCTTGTTATTTTTTACATGTATAGGGCTGTTTACGTCTATATTGCTATTGACAGGTAAACACTGTGTTTGATATCAACACTGAACCACCCATGTACACGCCGCGGCCAGTCTGCTGGCTGCTTTCTTATTATCCCAGCCTGCAAGGCAATTACGTTTCAGGCTTCATATTTTTTTCCACCGTAAAATTGTGGAATACAATATGCAATGAAGCTTTCTTTAATGATTTTATCTCCTCAGGTTCTTTGAATCAGTTTTGAAACAATACTTATATAAGTCTCTATCAGACAGTCTTTTAATGTGGACTTGGTCTGTTCTTAGCTTATCTCACGGGATTGTGGGTGTCACTATCGTTAATATGATTCTTAGTCTGTATATGCAGTGGAACCTTGAGTTAACGAACCTCTATATAACGAAGTCCTTGGTATAACGAACGGTGATACAGTTTCAACCCGGTTAAAGTTATAGTAAAATGTATGCCTCAGAACCTTGATATAACGAACCCTCGATATAACGAACCAACTTCCCCCGTCCCTTGGCACTTCGTTAAATCGAGGTTCCACTGTGTGTAATCATAACCCACCATTAATTTTCTCCTGACTCTATTGGCTTCCTTACATCACGTGGTAAAAATCACTTTACATGGAAGTAAAACGACTCGTTTTGTAGAATCCACTGGTAGTGACGTTAAAAAGCTGATCTCAAATGCTGCTCCAACAACAAAATTTGCTGTCCACGTGCGATGCGAAAATTATTGGGAGGGTTTTAAAATGAATAAATCCGCTCCTGGCTTAATTGCATGACGCCTGATTGTGCTTAGAGCCAAGAGATTATCCTCAAAATTCACAATTTCCCTCGAAGCTTAGTCTCTCAGCCAAATGCTCATTTCACAGACAATATCTCCGCTGCGGGACATAATCAGCAGACTTACCACTCGCCTTATAAGATTTTAATTCATTTCCTTGGGTGGGCGCCTTGCATGGGTCTGCGTTTGCGCTTCTCTCTTTTAGCTTTTAATTCGCTTCGTTATCCTTCTTATCTTGTTATCTTGTCACATCTATGCCTTCATTTATTTCCCAATAAAGATTAAAAATTGGTGAACAAAGTTAATAGAGGGGACGGTCGCCTGAAGTTTCCACTTGAAACCTTCAATAATCTTTGTCAATAAAGGGAAAAACCAGATGGAATTAAGAGTAAAAATGCATCCACTTTTAGTTTATAACCTGGTAATCGGCATGACCATTATTTTTTTTTTAAGAACTTACTGATAGACTGTCTCTGCCCTGACTGTACATAAACCGTAAGTAGTCTTTTACCGCCTCTTGAATGCGACTCCCGAAACTGGTTCTTGCGAGAGGCATTTGTAACGGTTGCAACTGTAATATATTCCTACATTTACGGCTACTGGGTCTCCCTAACTAGAAATTTATCCTTTTCCTTTTCTTGCAGTTCGGGTTTTGGACATTCATTTTAGAAGCGAAGGTTGCGACGACCCAGGAACAGTAGACGGTTGCGGCAAAGCTTACATTAAGGTGGATGGGACAGATTATTCTCTTCAAAGAAGAGGACATAACGTTGTTGTTGTGAATGGTGAAACAGGTGATTGGTAGACTGCAGAACTGGAGTTGCTTTTTGATTATTAAAATTATAATTTATTTTTTAGGGGTTTGTCAGTCGAGCGAAGGCTAGCCCTTGGCGTGCTAAGGGTGAGTCACGTGTAGTAGGTGGGAGGTTTGTTGCTAGGCGGGAGAGAACGAACTTACAACATCGTTCGTTAAGAGGACATTTGAATTCGCTTTTCCGTTCACTCGTCTCGGAAACAGGAAAAAAGACAACATATGTTCTTCGAGTTTCGTGATAGCCAGAAAACGTTGAAAATGTCTCAACCCTTGCAACCACCATTCGAGCCTTTCGCGAGCGGATTGCGAGCATTAAAATAAAACAAACAACATGAACAAGTGTCCCCCAATTCCCACTTCAAGCTGTTGTCCAATTTGTTTTATTAATTAAAAGAAATTCGAAAACTTCTACATGACAGTTTATTGGATTAAAAAAAAAAACCGAAAAGATATATAATAATATGGTGCACTAATATATTTTTTATTTACAGGTGTCTTCCTTGAAGCAAGAGCATTTGATACTCATGCAGATAGTTCGAGTGGAAATAATTTGAGAGACTACCTCAACAGCCTGAGCGGGAAGTATGTTACAACTACATGTAATCAGTAACTTTTCTTGTACGTACAACGCTTTAAGCTCCTTAATAATTTAATTTCAGCAGACAATGAATGCTCCTGTCCGGAAGACAATGCTATCCTTTACTATTCTTTTTGATTACCTTGCTTGAGTACAAGGACGTTCTATTCTTCATTGTCTTTTAACCGCAACTCATTTCTTACTGCCCTCGAGGGGTTACCTTGTCAATCTATTATTTATTATTTCAGAGACCTGTCAACGGGAGCTTCTATTTGCACTGATTCCTTGACTCCGACCTTTCTCGTGTAAATGTATTTTCGAACAAAAGCCTTTTTTCCGCCAAAATTATAGCAGTCCGTTGAATTCCGGCAACAGCAAATCGCTATTCGCTGTTCAATACAAATGAGCGGATGTTTGAAGTAAAGCAATAGCATTGTCACAGCTATATTTCGATTGGGTCTTAGAACACGAAACTTCCCCAAGGAGACTTTCGATTCACAGACTTACTCGGGAGAGGGTTTACTCCAAGGCTTAGTATGGGGAAAAAAAGGCTCCTATTAAGGGAAAAGGACTCTATTTGAAAGAAGACGTAGACATTCATATCTTTTCTGAATGTCACCTGATATCCCCGACTCGGCAACAGACATCTTGTCAAGGCTTTTTTATACATTGGCTACAGCTAAGGGGGTTCATTTTTTTTCTCTTTTTCCTTCACCCTAAGTTTTGACAGATCTCACCACTTGCATTCGTGTCTTTACTCTCGACACAGTAAGATCGTCTTAGTTGCTACTCAAGATTCAGCCGCTTCGTACATGTCACCGGCAATTGACGCTCTCAAGAGACTGGGTGCTACTGATCCTCTACAGGCAAACTACCGAGATTCCTTTACTTTTTCTGGATACTCAGGAGTGAACAAACCACAGTGGATTACACAAAAAAGAGAAGACAGATACCAGGGACCTAGTGAGATATTTCCGCATATACCCCTCTCAGTTAATCAATAGATTGGAGCTGCTCGAAAAAGCAAGGAAGAAAACAAAGATTCAAAACTGTAACATAATCCACTCAAAATAGCTGGAGATATTTTGGACACCATAGCAAATCTGGAGTTTCAGTCGCAATTTTGGAGACCTGCGTTTGGTTGTAATGAAGCTTTGAACTCTTTTGATGTTCGTTTTTAGTTTAAAAATAGCAGGAAATGCTGTCACCGTTGTGACTTTTTCTTTCGATAACATATTCCTTTTTCTCTCCTGGGTTTTCGGGGTGTTAAACCATGAAATTTCGTGTGACTTCCAATGATGATTGCTACCATATTGCTTATTTTAAGAAACTTTTATTCAAGAATTAATTTTATGTATTTGGGTTTCCTAAAAGGCGACTTGTAGAAACATGCTCTGAATTGTAATAGTAGTTGCATTAGTCTTTATTTCCTCACAAAAAAGCCACATATCTTATATTACAAAGTAAAAGGTAAAAAGTAGTGAAAAGGTGAAAAAAAGTAAAACGTGTTAAAGATTATAAATTTGCAACGCTACCTTGTGTTTAAAAATTAGACTATTCATTTCCGCCTTTGCTCTTGATCTTCAGAGTAAAAAAGGTTGCTTGGTTTAGTGACAACACTAGAGTAGTAAGCATCGTTCATAACGGTAGTAGGGTTGAGGAGCTTCAGTCTCTAGCGCTTTCTACTTTTCGTGTTTGCGCGAGTTCAGGCATTTCCCTTGAAATGAAGTGGATCCCTAGGGATTCTAATCACCAGGCTGATTCTTTGAGTAGAATAACTGATTCTGACGATTACTCTATGAATAATGACGTGTTTCATATGTTGGATTGTAAATGGGGGCCCCACAAAGTGGATAGGTTTGCCTGTAGTTAAAACGCCAAGCTTTCGACTTTAATTCTAGATTTTACCAACCTGGCGCTGACGCCGTGGACGCTTTCGCCCAGAACTGGGAGGGAGAAAATAATTGGGTCCATTCACCGTATCGCAAATTAGTAGACTTATTACTCATATGAGAACGTGTAAGGCTGTGGGAACCTTAGTTATTCCCATGTGGAAGTCTTCCTATTTTTGGATTTAAATATGTGACAATGGCAAGCCCTGGAACGCTTTTGTACACGATTGGGCGATTCTTCCCAAGAACGGGCATCGTTTTATGAATCGTTTTAGAACCCTTTTGTACACGATTGGGTGATTCTTCCCAAGATCGGGCATCGTTTTATAAAGAAAAGAATAACGTTTTTGGCTCAAAGGATTTGTCCTTTAGTGTAGTGGCTCTGCGTCTAAATTTTGTGCAACCTAGGGCGCAGTCTGTTTTGGGTTCTTGAACAGCCGAAGATGAAAATTACTCGTTGTGCAATGATTTTTATAATTAGGGTCTTTGATACCCATCTTCGAAGAAGTCTTTGCGTACTTCGTTTATTCGTGTTGTTTAGGAGCGTCGTTTTTGAGCTGGTTCATGCGTTTGCCGGCTCTCCTGATTGGAGTTTCCTCTATTAATGATAGCATTGCTAGTTCGTCAGCTGCCTTTTGATTCATCATTTTCAAGAGGTAGATTTTATTTTTCTTGATTTGCATTTATTATACATACTTAATAAGCCCGTTTAAGAATAAGTTCTGAAAGAGGCATTATAAAATTAAAATGAGTCCACTGTTGCACATGCACTCTTGTAGTTTGTTTTTGCTTTCTATTGTCTCTGATTGCTCTCCCCCTTTGTTTACGGATATTTTTAAGGAACGTATTTGGAAAGATACAGAAACTTTTGAGGACCCATATCTGCAGAGCCTCACTTCAAGGCTTCAGATGTCTGTTTTGTCAGCAAGGGCTCCGGCCACCACAAATATGTATCATCGGGAGTTCAAGAAATGGATAGACTTCGCTTAAGCAAATTGAACATTTCTTTTCTTCCAGCAAAACTTGTTCATGTAGCTATTTCTTTAAAGCATGTATTATAATCCACCAACTCCTCTAGCTCCGTCAATTCTGCATTCTACGCTGTTAAGTGGGCCCACGAGATCGCCAGTATGGCGTCTTCCACCGATGATGATGATGATGATGATGATGATAATAATAATGATAATAATAATAATAATAATAATAATAAATTTTATTTATATAGCGCTCATATACGGAACTCATGGCGCTTTACAACACTGTGCGGTGGACTTTACCAGACTGCTAAGCAGTTTATAATCGGGTAGTTTCTAGTGTTCGGTAAGCTACTAAGAGAATTTTAGAGGCTAGGAGACCCAGTAGGAAGAGCCTTTATCAGTTGATCATGAAGTCCTCAAAGAAATTGTGGAAGGAGCTGATTTGTCCAATGCCCTGCAGCTCAGAAACGTGTGTTTGTACGTGTTATCCTATGCGGGTTTTTTCAGATCTGGAGAGGTTCTAAATATTAAGATGAGACAAAAGCAAGACTGATCAGCTTAGACAAGGTGACGAAGTGGTTATTGCTCAATCCGAGGGGAATGTTTGCCCGGTTTTCTTACTAGAAGAGTACTTGAAGAAACTACATATAAGCCCTGACTCTAGTGAATTCGACCGTTCGTTAAAACCAAGTCGTCCTACAAATTGGTTCAAGTTGATAGGCATTTCTCTTAAGCAACCTTCAGTGGTCAGTTAACTAAAGGTCTGCAGTGCATAGTTCCGGAACTCACTCTTTCCGGTCTGGAGGAGCGTCGAGGGCTGCCAACAGCGGGGTTAGTGGTAGAGTTTTCAGAGGCATGGTAGATGGAAAAGTGTCGCACCTAAGGATGGTTACGTAAAGAACAACATGTCTTCACGTCTTGTAGTTTCGAAATCTTTTAGGACTTTGGTTTTTTTTTTTTTTTTTCCGGGGTTCAGTCAAGCCCTGTAATTTTTCTTCTAGTTTGTATAACGTATCGTTATAGGTGCGGCGTTCGGCCGAAACAGCCAAAATAAACCTTATGGTTTTTCTTATTCATGTTGTACTGCGTAGTGGAGGCGAAATATGGAATTTCCGGCGTTTGAGTGGATACGAATTAGCCGGAAATGAAATATTTCTGCGGCACCGGAGCAGTGGTTACTGGGGCAGTTGAAGTGCAGCATGGGTAGAAAAGAGCGCTAAAGAAGGGATGCATATCACGTGGGAAAGCATTCTAGGCCGACACCTCGTCTTGCATACGTTATTTTTTATTTTTTTTTTTTTTATTTTTTTTATTTTTTAGTATACATTTGATTTACTAGTGACAGTTCGAGTTTTGGCTTGTTTGCGTTTCCTAAAATTATTTAGAGTTTTCCGTGCTTTGTTGGAATACATATTTAGCAAATAGGGCCAAAGACCTTCCAGCCGTGTAGCCTTTGTAGGACGGGCTTTTCAGAGCAGAGTCATGGATCTTACCAAGATTTCCTTTCGAGCTTTTTTTCCCCATTGGGGTTTTTTACAGCAGGTTTTTCCTGGCCTCTGTTCTGACAGTATTCTGTGTAAACTGTCGCTCAGCTCTGTTCTAGTTTTTCCACCACATGTTTGAATGTAATAGTGGTTGTTGTATAAAGTATCGTTATGTGCGGTGCTCGGCCAAAACAGCCGAAATAAAGCTAATTGTTTTTCTAATTCATTTTGTATTGCGTAGTGGAGCCAAAATGAAGACATTTTTGTCCTTGAAAAATAAGCTGGCCTGGTCGTTACGATGCGAGCAGAACAATTCATTAATAATTCATGTAAATTAACAAACAAAGACTTCAATCCCCTGTTTTGGGACTATTTATAGGGCCTCTTAAGACAATCTTTAAAGTCTTTTGCTTTGAGCAATCCCCGGGGGACTCAACAATAATTGGTGATTATTTAGATTCTACGTTTCCTCTTGAGAACACGAACTCCGATAAATCGAGCCATTCTTAACAGTCCTTCAAATTATAACGGATTAATTCAGGGAATTTTTTCAAGCATATCTCAGACCCAATTACAACAGTCTCGTTTTCCTTGCAATTCACTTACATAGTTGTGCTTGCTATGTAAATCAATATACCTTCTCAACGGTGGTTATTATAAATAAACTTTCATTTGAGAGACTACTGATTTCGTACCTGTCTTAGCGTGCGATACGTTTTATATCTTAATGGTGAGAAGTTATTTCAGAGGTTTGATGGTAAATTACAAACTTTGTATGTTATAGTAAATGCAACACATTGAATGTGTCTTTTAGTCATTATCTCTTTTTAAATAAGCGATTTTCTTTGTATCTTTGAAGGATGGAGAGCAGCAAATTATTTGTTGACTTTCTACTTTTATCACTTCTGACTACTGGCGCTTCGTTCGGCGCTGAAGACTTCAAACGAGATGACAAAGGAAGAGAACGAAACGCATATTTTGTG